CCCCCCCCCCCCCTTGAAAAAAAAAAAAAAAAAAAGAATGCAGTCATATGAACTTTACCAGACAATGGAGTACCTACAGGCTCTCCCCTAGACAAGTCCTTTATAACCAGCCACTGCTATGTGCTGCAGACAGTGGCCAATCGGCAGGCTCCTTTCTGCAGCAGGGACACAATAGGTGCATTGGCCACACTGTCCTCCTAAACCCTGACAGCAGTTCAGGTTCATTTATTGTACACTGGAAGGCACATATGTCTTTAATATTCACTGTGAAATTATCAGTGTGGCAGCCTTTATTTCACCGTAATTCCATCAACCTAATTACCGCGCACAAGCTGCAATAGCACTGTTTGCACAGAGTGGCGCAAAGGCACGCATGCCGTAAAAATATGCATGAACATGCTTGCTTATTTCAGTAATAAGATCCACCAATTATTTTCTTCCCAGAGCAAAATGCTTCTTCCAGAATACTTTGGTGGATATAGCCATCATTTTTCCCTTTCAAAAAGAAGTGTGCGTGTGTACGTGTATATGCATGTGTATAATTTAAACGTAATTCCAGCCATTTATTGGGATGAGCTATGGGGGTGAAACTTAGTCAGAAAATAAAGGTTATTAAGGACCTAAGGCACTTTTCCATATCACCAGGCATAAGAGTGAAATAATAAGTTTATCTGCACGCGTCACCATAGCCATGTTCAGATGCCGATTCATTTGCCGTTCACCTATCATGTGAATGTGCCTATCTGTCATTTATATATTTCAATATTAGATAATGATGGCATGACTTGCAACACTGATTCAAAATGCCTGAAAAATTAAAATTTCATTTTTATCAGATTAATGGATTTGGGCAGTCTGTGGTGTATGGTGCCTGCAAATTTTTTCTATTTTATGCATGTTGCATTTCCATATTCATGACCAGACTAACTGTTATGACCACTGATTCTGCAGCAGGAGATGGAAAGGAATGATCCAGCATACAGATGTGCTAATCTAGGGGGAGAATGGCAGAAGATGATGACCAGCAAATGTTTAGTGTTTTCCTTTGGTTGTAACTTATTGTATAATTAAGGGCGTGGGTAAACAACCTACCAGAACATAAGAAGTATAATTAACTTGGAAAGTAAGATCATTTTATTGCTCATGGTCAATTCATTGACACTGTAAAGACTAAGTATATTGAAATGGGAGATTTCTTATTCAACACTTGGCAGGTAAAACTGCATTTGTTTTACAACTACTTAGCATATTAGAAAATGGGATGCCCTTAGAAGCCCTCTATTTTCTCATTATTTCATAATTTACTGTCTTATTTCAAACCATAATGTTAAATATTAACCATTAATTACTTTCAAAGGTGAAGTTTCAGTAATGTTTACCTGTATTTATTGATTTATTTTGATTTTTAGTTCATGATTCTCTAATCTGGAATGGATTTCATCATTGTAAGTACATTAGGAAAATAGTAATTCACATCTTTATCCAGTTTCCAACTGATGGGCAAATGGGCTGTTTCCAAGTTTTAGCTATTACAAACTGTGCTCATAGGTGCACATATATCTCTGTGATATGATTCTTTCAATTCTTTTGGAAAGACACCCAGCAGAGGGATGGCTGGGTCAAATGGAACTGCTAGTCCCAGCTCTTTGAGGTATCTCCATATTGATTTCCATAGTGGTTGCACCAGTCTGCACTCCCACCAACAATGGAGAAGGGTTCCTTTCTCCCTGCAATCCTGCCAACATTTGTTATTGTTTGATTTCTTGATAGCAGCCATTCTTTGTGGGGTGAGGTGGAATCTCAGTGTTGTTTTCATCTGCATCTCTCAAATGACCAGTGATGTGGAACATTTTTTCATATATTTACTTGTACTTGCTGCTTTTACTTCTTCGTCTGATAAATGTCTGTTCATTTCAGATGCCCATTTTTGAATCAGGTCTTTATACTTGGGGGGCTGATTGTTTTGAGTTCTTTATATATTCTAGATAATAGACCTTTGTCTGAGGAGCAGCTGGTAAAAATTTTTCCCACATTGTAGTATAAAATAGAATATTACTCAGCCATAAAGAATGAGAAATTAGATTCATTCATAAGAAAATGGATACATATTGAGGATATACTCCTCAGTGAAATAAATAAGTCACATGTGTAAATACTGAATAGTTTCTCTGATGTGAATAAACTGTAATAGTACACAAGATCCTAATAATATAATTGACAATGTGAAATAGGAAGAAAGGGGCTAAAGGTGTAGGGAAAGTGGGAAAGGTAGCGGAAAGATAATAAGGGAAAAATATGAGAAAATGAAAAAATGGAAATGAAGTGTTTGTAAATGGGTAGGGGAGGAGGGGGTGAAGGGAGGGCAGGGACAAGGGAAAAAAATGAGAACCAAGACCTGTCATGTAAAGGTACAAGACCCCAACAATGAATGTAACTGTACTGTATCCCTAAAATGTACCAATAAACTCAATGAGGAAAAAAAAAGAAATAGTAATTCACTTATATTCCTATGGAAACTTGTGTACAACACATAATACCCTCATACTAGTGAGAAAGAAACCCAATAGATTTTCATACATATAACAATCCTCAATTTTTAACATCTGAAAATTTTCCATCAGAAAACATACTCAAGTTGATTTTGAACTCTGTTTATTTTAAAAGAAGAGCTAGTTCTTCAGTCTACACTTTCCAAAAAACAAGTTTTAGTGGAGGAAGGAGCTGAATTCCTAACTAAGACTAAGAAATTGAGATCGCAAGGCTAAATCATAAATAACCAAATAATATTCAACTACACTTTTATTCACGAGCTGTTACATGTATTGAAATCAAAATACCTGAAGTGAAAATATAACAATATATCTGATATATACATAGTATAAAATGCTTCTTCTCTAGATGAATGCCAAAATAGTCAAAGAAAAAGTAAATCTTAAGCAACTATTTACATCAGTTATTGATGGTTTTCCTATCAGAAAGTAGTTTTTCTAAATCATTGATAAAATCAGGAAAATTTACTAGTAATTAAATTAAATATTTAACTTCATTTCTCTCTCTCCCTCTCCCTCTCTCTCCATCTCTCAAAATTTTGGCTGTCCTTTTACTGGGCAGAGGTAATAAGTAACTCTTCTGCAAAATCATTTCAATTGTTTGGTCTGACATTGCAAAAAAAAGCTTGAGGAAATTGTAATTCATTGCTATTGGTGTATTTTGGTAAGTAAAAATAAAAACATATGACTCTCATATTATCACATAGACTTAGATTACACTAACATAGAATGTGCTTGAAAGTCTTACTGGTATACAAGGTATTATATTAAATGTATTTTTATTTTATTTTTATTCTTCTTTATTAAAAAAAACTTTGGTACCATGAATCAAACTCAGGGCCTTGAACTTGCCAGGCAGGTGCTGTGCCACTGAGCTACATTCCTGGTGAATGTATTTTTATAAACAAGATTATTGCAAGATCCATACATAGCCTGCTTAAACAAGTATTTATAAACACCTGAGGATTATAAATAAGAGATTCCTTTCTTAATATTTCAATTCATTAAAACAGACAAGTAAGGCTCTCTATTTAGAAATACATTGTGGTTGCTTGAGTTCTTAGAGATACTTGAAAACAATCTTGTGCTGGTTATAGTACTCTCTTATTGGACTTTACTCATCCTCTCTCAACCCAAATTACAAATTATTATTGTTAGATTTTAATCTAATACTCAAATCTAAAATAATGCAGTGATTATTTCAAATAATGCAACCATGTAGAGATCTTTGTAATGAAATCTTATTTGGATTCCTTTTACTAGATAAGTTACATCTAACCTATGCATTTAAATCACTAATTTTGATATGACATCCAAAAAAATTAATAGCAAGTTTCTGTAATTCCACAAGTCATGCTGCCATCCTTTATTAAAAATAAAGTTCTGACTTGCTGATGTCAGGATATTCTTAATTGGTTGAGTTTTACAATATTAGGAATTGATGGCCTCTTCCCATAAGATCAAAGACATGCATTCATAAGATAACTGTATGGAGAATATGAGTGCCATGTGTTCCCAGGATGGAGGGAAGCAAACTTCTTTAACAAGATCAAAAGCATAAACTTAGATTTATAATCACAATGATCTCACCAAAAAAGTCAAGTCAGCACAAATTGGCTGTAAGCATGTGAAATAGCAGCCTACAATATTAACTTTATACATAATACAATACATTCTACAACAAGAACCAAATTGGAAAGAGATACAAAGCCAATATATTAGAAAGCAACTTGTCAATCTCCTAAAGTGACTCATTCTTGGGGAAAAAAAGCACCTGTTAAGTAAGCATGGAAAATATCCATGGTGCAATTAACAAAAAAAAAAATCAGTTTATGGCTGTT